ACCGAGGGTCTGTGGTGAGCCCGGGAGGTGACAACCCCGGTTCGTTGAACAGAAGCCAGTAACGATTTGGCGTCGAGGCCGGGATCCCCCCATCTCCGGGTGCGGGGAGGGCTTGACTTTCGGGTTCGATGGAAGGGAGGTCGGTCGGTGGTTCTCCCCCGGGGAGAGCTCTCGCCAGATGCTCATGCGACATGGCCCTCCTTCTAGCGCTAAAATGTTAGCGAACAAATATACCGTGGCTAATGAGTCAGCACGACTAGGTCCACGGGTCAATATCGGGAACTTCCTACGAAGTGAGCTAGATGATGAGGTGGTCGCGCCCTCGGGAAGGAGTGTAGGTTCGCGTTGGTCGGGATCCGAGCTGATTGACTACTCTCCTTTGTGCGTTAGATGGCATCCCCTGGGTTGAGACACTCGCCGCTCGCGGGTGGTTGTTCGCTTGTAAAAACGGCCCTCGTTGGGTGATCCCCAATTATGGCCCCTTCGACAAGCAAGTCAGTAATAGGATTGACTGTTTTCCTTTTTCTCTGGCCGGAGGCCAAACGGGGGCTTTATACCATTGCCCGAGGGTCGGTTCCGCTGATCGGCCACCATCTCGGAACGTGCGAAGCAGCATCAGATGGCACCGCCCCGAGCTCTCAGGACGGGACAGGTAGAAGAGCTTCCTGGTATGGTTCTGACTTGTCATGTGGCGCGTCTTGGGCCCAAAATAGGTCGTATCATTTACTAGACATTTGTGAGATGAATTTTGGGGTAGATTATATTGGAATCTTGATCGTAGGAATTGGATGTGTCGAACTGTAATTTTGATCCATTCTTCCAATTTAAGTTCTTGTTTACTAGAAATTTGTGGGATGGAATTTGGGGTTGATTATCTTGGAATCTCGATCGCAGGAATTAGATGTATCGAACTGTAATTTTGATCCATTCTTCCTATTTAAGTTCTTGTTTCCTGGAAATTTGGGAGATGAATTTTGGGGTTGATTATCTTGGAATCATGATCGTCGGCATATTCTAGATCGATAAAAGAAGATAAGAGCGACTAGATTGACAATGAGGAATTAAAGATTGATATTGTCGCAGTCGAATCGTAAGAAAACCATTAGCATTAAAGATCGTGGGTGATTTCTCTGTACCTATGACAGACCATGATACAAGAAATTATGCATTTTTGTAGTTGCTGTGTATAAAGGGTTTAGAATAGAATGAATGATTTCTGGAGTTGCTTTTAGGGTGGGGAACAAACAGAATCATGAATTCCGAAATTAATTTATTTGCATTTGTCATGAATAAGATGAATTTAGGAATAAAAGACGTGTATTGCTGTAGAAATATTTCTTTGTGGAAATTACAGAAAGAAAGAGAGAGAACAGTCTTTTTGTTATTGCTAGAAGAAGAAATGAAAACCCTTTGTGTTCCATATTTGGAGTGAGTTCTTTGCCATGGGCAAAGATATCAAGAATAGATCAGCGTGTAATGGGACTGATGTATGACTATTGTTATCACAACTTGCTATAGTAGAGGGTAGAGTCGAAAACAAGAATTTTTCGTCCTTTAGAAAAAATAGATCAGGTCAACAAATAGTTAATGTTTTTTTCTTGATAATCAATTACATTTTATTCAATATAAAATTAATATATATATATATATAGTACAATTGGGTGACGAGATGATCTACTTTTTGTAAATTAATCAATTCATTTCAGATCTGAATTGTTGTGCTTGAGAGACGAGAGGTGAAGAGAAGGAAAGAACTCCACGCGTTCTTGCACGCACGGTCATGCGTAAAGGAGTTTTCCTTTAATAAAGAAAATGCCACTTGTACGGTCGCGGATATACGGTCAACGTTCGCTTGCTTGCGACACCCCAAGCGAGTCGTGCCAGAAGCACCCTTGGGCGGTGGTATATATATATATATATATAGTTTAATCACAGGTGTCAGTGGCTGCTTTTAGATTTGGTGAACTGGCAAAAGTTTTGTTAGTAAGCTATTTCCCGTGCAGTTTGCAGGGGATTCAGATGCTACCAAAACTACGAGCCGAAACAGGCCTGCTGTGGGTCGTGAAACCTCCACGTGTCGTTGACCACCGTCAAGGTTGAACAGGAACGACGCGGAGACGGTGAACCCACGAAGCAAGAACACCCCACCCCCCCCACGTGACACGCGGCATCGTGTGGCTATCGCTTCTAAGTGGGCGTACTGAGACACCTTCTTGACGAAGGAAGTGTTCTCGGGATTCTTCGATTTATTCCGCGATCTTGAAGGCGTCCAAACCCAGATCTGAAGACACCAAAATGGAAATGGACGGCCTCCTTGTGCTCTGTCCCACTCTGATCATCTTCCTTCTCGCCTTGCTGACCTTCTTCCTCCGGAGGTTCTTCTCAGCCCCCTCCTCCTCGAAGAGCAAGAATTCGACGACGATAAGCTTCTCGGAGCTCGTCAAGAACGGCCATCGATTCGTGGAGTGGACGGCGGAGCTAATCCTCGCCAGCCCCACCAACACCATCGTCCTCCCGACCTCCGTCATGACCGGGAACCCCAAGAACGTGGAGCACGTCCTCAAGGCCAACTTCCACAACTACCCCAAGGGCCACAACCAGACCTCCGTCCTCGCTGACCTCCTCGGCGGCGGCATCTTCAACGCCGACGGCGACCACTGGCGCCTCCAGCGCAAGACCGCCAGCCTCGAGTTCAACACCAAGACCATCCGCTCCTTCATCCTCGGGAACGTCCACCTCGAGGTCGCCGACCGCCTCATCCCGCGCCTCGCTCGCGCAGCTGCCAACGACGAGGTGGTCGACCTCCAGGACCTCCTCGACCGCCTCGCCTTCGACAACGTCTGCAAGGTCGCGTTCGACGTCGACCCCGCCCGGCTCGCCGGCGACGACTCATGCGACGAGTTCTTCCGCGCCTTCGAGTCCGCGACCGCTATATGCATCAGCCGTTTCCGGCAACCGCGGCTGTTGTGGAGGCTCCGTAGAGCGCTCAACCTGGGGTCGGAGAGACAGCTCAAAAGAGACGTCTCCGTCATCGACGACTTCGCGATGAGGGTGGTCAGGGAGCGGAAGGCGCGGACGGCGGAGGAGATCAGGAACAGCAGCGACCTCCTCTCGCGGTTCATCGCCGAGGACGACGACTTCTCGGACGAGTTCCTCCGGGACATCGTCGCAAGCTTCGTGCTGGCCGGGCGGGACACGACGTCATCCGCCATGGCGTGGCTCTTCTGGCTCGTCTCCACGCGGCCGGCGGTGGAGCAGAGGATCCTGGCCGAGATCGGCGCCGTGCGGACGCGGCACGGAAACCGGGTGGGTACGCTGACGCTGGACGAGCTGAGGGAGATGGACTACCTGCACGCGGCGGTGTCGGAGTCGCTGCGGCTGTACCCACCAGTGGTGCTACAACCGCGGCGGGCGGAGGCGGACGATGTGCTGCCGGACGGGACGGCGGTGCCGGCAGGGATGTCGGTGACGTACAACACGTACGCTATGGGAAGGATAGAGGGAATATGGGGCGCCGAGTGGGGGGAGTTTAAGCCGGAGCGGTGGCTGGACAAAGAGGGGGCGTTCCGACCGGTGAGCCCGTTCCGGTTCCCGGTGTTCCACGCGGGGCCGAGGACGTGCCTGGGGAAGGAGATGGCGTACACGCAGATGAAGGCGGTGGTGGCGAGCGTGATGGAGAGGTTCGAGATGGAGGTGATGGACAAAGGACGGGAGAGGGAGGTGGAATTCTCGATGCTGCTGAGGATGAAAGGTGGATTGGTGGTGCGGATGAGGGAAAGGGAGCTCCAACAGTAATTGGGAGGTACGTGGTTTTATTGATTCCGTAGTCCGTATACTGACTGCTCTACGTTATGTCCAAGTGTTTTACGTCTGTTATATCGTATTGAATGTTACGTCAAAGGTGAAAAAAGGCCGCGTTCGGGAATAATACACTCTTTCCTTGGAAAACAACGATCCTGATTGATTCAGACAACCAACCCTTTCCAACTTAGAAATACACCAATATTCTATTACATGCAATCTTTAAAATGGATATTACAAGAGAACCATACGTAAATAAACAAAATTACCAATCTCAAGGATCACTTGATAACACCATACAACTAAAACATACGAAAATTTACTTTTGAACAAAAACTCCAATAGAACATTACAAATCAAAGCACAACATTTTTTGAGTCTATAGCAAATAAAAGACTCAACAAAAAAAAAAAAAAAATCTTTTACGGTCGTGCACGTTTGATGGCCACATATAATATAATTCTTTTCGCCTTTAGTTATAAATTCTCCATTACATCTAAAATTCATCACAACCCACTTATGTTCTCTGAAACACATTGGATCATCAAAATCATTAGATTGACAAAGGTTAACTGATATCTAAACTGGATGTGAGAAAATCCAGGCCTCATTTTTTCTCTGCCGACGGAAGAATCTATTGCAGTAACAGAGACCCAACACAAACTTCACATAATCATTTCTTCTCGAAACAACACTAAAACAACCTGATAAGATCGATAGAGGTGACGAAAGGTCAATACAAAACCTAAGACAGCCCAAATCCAAATTACATGATGGGAGACGAGATCCTTAACATAAACAATGAACACTTAAGCAATGATAAGAACAGCATAGGATGATGGCTTGACTCATAACATCAAAATTTATAACATACAAAAATATCTTCGATCATTTTTAAATAATCTTATTATAATTATATTATTAATTAATAATTATAATCAGAAATCTAATTAAATTTATAATACATCTTTTCCAATTAAAACAATATCATATCGGCAGTGGAGAATCACTTAAATTAAAAATTAATTACCCTATTACCAATTCCATTGTCGTCTAGTCCGGTTAGGATACCTGGCTTTCACCCAGGCGACCCGGGTTCAAATCCCGGCAATGGAAGTTCTTTTTTAGATTTTATCGCATTTAAAGAGCACACTCTTATTTCTATATACATTACTTTTCCTACTAAACTTATATTTCATATCTATAATTCAGAATTTCGAAGAAACTTATATTTCCACTCTATAAAAACACGTTTCTGCATCAAAAGCTTCCGGGGATAACCGCACACAGGAACTATGCCCATCGCACTTTGTTCTATCCGTCTTCCAATCCTTTCTTCGAGTCAAATCCCGCACCGCAATCACAAACCCTCCTCAGTCTCTTCTCCGGCGCCTCCCCTCGTCCTCCGCTTCCGGACCTCCCGCCGCCAGAACCTGCGATACCTTAAATCCCTCGGCATCACCGCCACCTCCCCCGAATCCATCGCCTGGACCCTCGCCGTCGTCGAATTCCTCAAGTCCAAGGGCTTCTCCGACCGCCACTTTCCCCGGCTCTCCTCCGCCAGCCCCACAATCTTCTCCTCCGCCGACGTTAACCGCACCCTCGCCCCCGTTTTCGCCTTCCTCGTCGCCGAGCTCTCCGCTGACCCCGACCAGGCTCGGGACCTCATCCTCCGGTGCCCTGACCTCCTGATGGCCAGCGTCGACTACCGCCTCCGGCCGACGCTTCTCTTCCTTCAGGAGCTCGGCCTCAGAAGCCTCAGCTCGCCGACCAATCTCAACGCCCACCTCCTCAACACCCCCGTCGAGAAGCTGGCTTCCAAGATCCGGTTTTTGGAGGGATTGGGGCTCTCCCACCAGGAAGCGTCCAAGGTCTGCGCCCGATGCCCAGCGATCTTTGGCTACAGCGTGGAGAACAACCTAAGGCCCAAGGTCGAATACCTGGTGCGCGAGATGGGCAGGTCGATGGAAGAGGTGAACAAGTTCCCGCAGTACTTTGCCTTCAGCATGGAGAAGAGGATAAGGCCGAGGCATTTGCATCTGAAGCAGAGAGGGGTTCGGATTCCATTGCAGCGGATGCTGCTGTGGAGCGACCACCGATTCTACAGGAAATGGAAGTGAGGCACACAGAACCAGAACACGTTGTGTTCGATCGGTTGGCAAACAAGCTGCGACTTGCAACCGGGCTTGTACACGATCCACGCGTAAACGACCAAATACATTGCAAAAGATGTTCCATAAAGTAATGTACTTAAGTATTGTTTGTATTGCAAAACATAATGTTGTTATCAGTCATAGCAAAAGTGTTATCGACTACTGATCACTGCAAAGTCATGGTTGTTGCTGTTTCCATGAATAACCAGATAAAGCCAATGGTGGTACGGCCGTATCGAGTCTAATCACTTGAGATTTTGTTGGCAGATGGGTGCAACAAAAAAAGGGCCTTCAAATCATCAACACTTTCAATTTAGCATTTAGCAAATTAACCAATGAGGGTTGCAGGAAGAAAGCATTCGACAAAGCATTAAGACAGCAGCAATCTAATGAACGAACAGCAATAGGGACAAGAGAACAAGCATTTCTTGGATTAATGCCATAACATAAGCTTGAAGAACGAGCCAAACAATATTAACAGAACAATGGGAGCAGGAGGATCTCAGAGAGTGTGCATTGTTCTAACTCAAAGGAGGAGAAGAAAAGAAAAGAGAAACAAACTACTTGGAAGCTTTCACTGAAATTGAAACAAACTCACTATTCCTAAGTCTGTTCCAAATCATACATGACACCATAAAACTATTCATGAAGCAGCCAAGACATGACAAGTAGCAAAGTTTGAGCAGAGCTCAAAATACACCTGCTGTCTGCTGGATTCATATGATTTTGACCTAACTGCTAATTGACAATGTCCAGGAGTCACATTGATGCTACAAAGCTAACGGTCTTCAGTCAGTCACCCTGGGGCTGCCTAGTCAAATTGAAGTTAAGTCGCCCACCCCCGCCCCCAAAGTCGGGAAATCATTCTATATACTACTTATATATCTATGTACAGAAAACCTGAAAGCCAACCTTGATGGAGCTACAAATGCCAAGCTAACTTTCGGCGTCGCCAATACCTGTTCCAACACCACAGCCATCCTGAGCATTTTCCTCCCTGTGGCGCTTCCTTGGATTAGATTGACTCTCATTGTCAAGTTGCACAGAATTCCTACAACTCAAACTAGCTTCTGCCTGCTTATCCTCAACCAAATTAGGCTGTGCAGTGATGAATTCCTGATCTGACATCACTGAGCTGCCAGATTCTGCCCCCTTGATAATGACAGAGCAGGAAGCAAGCTTTGTTCGGGGGCTAACTGAAGAGGCTGCTGATAAGATATCAGGCTTAGCATTGATATCGACCCATTGATCACCCACCCAATCTTTAGATATCCTTAGCCTTTTCAGTTCGCAAATTAAGAAGATGTCTTCACCTGTGAGATCATAAGAAACATTTAGAAAATAACAGTCATTAACCTTGGAATCTGATTCATTAGTGAAGAAAGAAAAATGATGCCTAAAAACTGTAAAAATTAACTGCAGTATAAGGGGAAGCTAGTTGTTACTCAAAAATGCAGAAATTTCCTTACTACAACAATCTTGTATGACAGATAGTAGTCCTAACTCCTATTATGAGTAGCTTGGAATAAGTTTTTTCCACTTTTCTTTGATTCCTTTAAATATACCAATGACAGATTTTACGAAAATTTTAAAAGGATCATCATTTTTGTAACAAGCTTGAATAAAAAATGGCCATCAGTTGAATAACTTGCCGGCAGCCTGTTGAGTGCTAAAAGAAATCCATCCCTTGAGATGAGATCTAAGTCAATCGACCAACAGAAGTATCCACCTTTGAGCAATGTTTTTGAGCTTCCACTTGTATATGCTGATTACATATGTAGTCGAATAATATTTTAAATGAAATGATAAAGATCAGCTCCATCAGGAAATTCGAAAAAAAGCAAGAAAGAGAATAAAAGGAGTCATTTAACCGAACTTTCAAATGAAAGCATTCGTTTGTACAAAAATAAAAAGAAAACTTAGCTTGAAACATTATGTTGTTTGGTAAATTCTTCAACTAAAATTATAAGCGTTAAGCATGATTAATCTTAGTAAATAGGAAAATCATCTAATAACTCAACCAACAATTACTTAACATCAATATGCAATTTCACTTCTAGTTAACGATATTTCATTTGTTGTCTTCCTATTAAAGAACTTGACATAAACCAGAAAGCTTTTAAGATTCTAGTCTCTTCGGAACAATCTATTGCAGGCCCTGATGTCATCATAAACATATTCAATCTTCTAGATGTCCATTGCTGCTTAATTAAAATACCATTCTGTGAAAAACTGAACAAGAATGAGTGCCTAATTTGTATATTAATATTCATTTTCCTTCAAACAGTAATTAAAGTCTATTGATCACTGTACCATTTCAGATGTCAATAGATTAAATTATTCACGTAAACAATTCAGATAGTACAGTATTAAGGGTTTTGTAGGATCCTTGGTTCTGTGAAGCAAGCATGGTTCTGTATACAGATGCACCACTTGGGAAGAATATTCACATAACAAATTGCTCCAGAGCATGTGCACTGAAAAAACACTTGAGATGAGCTTTGCAAAAGGATGCAGAATGAATCAAGGGTACAAGTTGTAGCAAACAGGAAGTTCCTATCCATTAAGAAATACATAATATTAACTAATTATCTAGTTTGAGGAACTAACAGCCCATTCAACCATCTATTATTTTCCTGGTCACTGCCCCTTCTCTAAAATTTCTTGTGACTAATTTTCTTCCATATAACCAATGACGCGTATTGAATAATCCCAAAAATCATCTGTAGGTGTTATCAATATGAATTTTTTAAAAAAATGCATGGTTCCATCAAGAGATCAAACCATAAACACCAAAATTAGTAGTCAAGAACATGGAATACAGCAATACAAAGAATTGAGGAAGTACCTGGCAAGTATACTTGCACATTATCATCTCTACTGTTTGCCAGCTCAACAATAATTCCCTCCCACCAGCCATCATTCCATTGTACATCCACTGCCATTCCCTTTTTAAGATCAATGTTGTTAAGCAAATAAATACATTTAGGACATGGACGAATTGTTAGACGGCCTGAGCATCTCATGCCCAATCTATCAGGAGCTGCTGTTCTGAAGGCAGGAACCCATTCCTACAACATAACAACACACATGTAACAGCAAAGCAAAGTGTCAAAAATCGAATATTTGTTTTACTTAATATGTTATGCATGCAACATAATCTTCTTGTTAGAAAAACAAATAGTTTCCTTAAAGACATTTTAATGATGAGGATCACATAGGCCTACTTTGTCTGCTAACCAGAGCACAAAAGGTGGTAGGAATTTGAACATCAGCATGAATGAGCCACATCCTCAATAAAATCAATCCTTAATGCTGTTTCACAACATGAATGAGTTCCTCTCACATTGTTGATGAGCCATCTTTCTGATACCTCGACAATGACTAACCGACCCACATGGGGTCATCGACCTTTGTACAATGGAGCAAATATATTAAAGGGGTGGCACATTTATTCTCCTCTTTGAGAAAATGAAATTATGGAAGGAACTAAATGCACAAAGAGGAGAGTAATGAACCACCCCCTAAACTGTCCTTTGCCTACAATGTAATAATTGACCTACAAGTTCCCAAAATCAGGCACACTCTGACTTAAACATCGAAAGAACATTCCATTGAACCCATTCTCAATGCCTCTGTTCCTTTTGCAAGTCTGACCTCCAAGATCTAGGTCAATAATCGAAGCTACCAAATTCCAACATGGTGCTTGCTTAGCAAAAGGATGAGAGCAAGGCTGAATCCAACCTTCTATGTCAGCTGGATGACCAAAAAATGTTTCATCAACCAGCATAACTAAAAAAAGCATAGACTTATTGATCTTACAACATAAAGTTGAACTATATCTACCTTTGAATTCTAAAATGCAATTACTGATTATAATGACGAACAATGATACAACTATAACAAATAATTTCTAATTAAAAGCAAGATAATATAATTTACTTGGATTTATATGAAGGATTTCTCAGATAGCAGCTCATACCTCCAAATTCCCATACCCATCGACATTTTGCACATCGTCATACTGGACTTTTAACTTCTTAAGTGATAATCTTAAAACAGTGCACTTAAACCAGCAGCCCCTGATACCACTATCCTGGCAAAGAAGCTCTATTTTCTCTCCGACTTCAAAAGGTGGCATAAGCCAATTATGAGGCCCAACAAACTTCATTGACAGAGGCCTTCTCACAAGTAAATCATATTCCAAATTCTGATAAGCTGGTTGGCAAGTTGTTATATGGCCTAAAAGGCCAGATATTTCAGTCCCAAAATGTTGTGCCAGAAATTTCTCCTGTACCTTAACAAATCTAGTTCTCCTGTGACCAACATGTTCTTTGATCGGACTGTAGCCAATTTCCGCTTCTCCTTTTCCAGACTCATCACAAATACCCAAGCGGGAAAGAATTGCTTGATTAAAATAACCACGCAACGTTCTTAGATCAAAGAGTTTGAATTTATTTTTAATGTACTGCCGAAAGCATAAACGAACTCCTGCTGCAGATGAAAGGGAATCCAAGCATTTCTCATAATGTTCAGGAGTCAAAACAGCAGCTATGTCATCCACACATTCTGCACTAATGACCTGAGAGAAAGGTGTTATGAAAACTTCACTGGGATGTGGAGCAGGTGCAGGTATCGCACAAGCAAATTCCTGATTCTGATGAAACCATCGTACTTTGACCTTCTTTTCCCCTTTTTTATTCTCATACATATCTTCCAAGTAAGCAAGATAACGATTTTCCTCCTCAGACATCACAAGGACAAAAGAGTGGACCTACCAAACAAATATTATTATTTTACACCAAACCATAAAGGTATGCATATGGAAACATGGAAGTAGTGATGTTGTGCTTACAATCACTGTTGTTCCATTTCGACAAAAAGCTTGGTAATGCCGGAGCTGCTTCCCACAAGTCCAGGAAGCACCAGACCAAATGATGTCAGATCTGTTGCTGTCATCCTAAGATAGAACAATAACAACACTTTACAATAAATCAAACAGCACAAATCTTGCTAGAAAATTTTTAGAAGAAACTAATTACCATGTTTTCGACCAAGTGGTCTCCAGTATCACCACATCTATTAATTTCCATCTCAACACCCAAATCATGTTTCATGCATTTTGGCAACTCTGGTGTGACACAAGTTATTAAAAGTCAGTTTCTGACCAATATAGCTGGCATAATCAAATTGCACAAACCTATCAGAAATATTTCATGGGTATAGTTATCCAGAAAAATCAAAGAAGAAAAACCTTAAAATACATTTAATCGATACTTACAGTGACAAAAAAAAAAGATAGTATAATCAGATTGATAATAGTTATCAGAAGGATTTCCTTCATATTGTTATCATGTATGCAAAATACAGAACTAAACCTTCTGCCGATTAAACTTTGGTTGCAAAGTGTTCAATACTTGAGAATAGACCTTTGTGTAAGATATTTGTGCATATATCATGTTTCGCATGCCCATATTTTAGCACAACAAAAAATAATCTAACAATATTATTTTCACCATCATGTCTGGTTATCGCTAATCAGCATATAACAATTTTTCGACAGCTAACTTCACAATTCCTCAGGTGTAAAATTATTGTAATAAACTACGAACAAAAATAACATGTTCCATCTACATTTTATTCTCCGCTAAGAATGAATCCTTGTATCTTTGATAACATAAAAGAAGAAAAGCACAAATCATCAGCCATCAGTTAAATACTGAAGGGTGTTACAATTACACAATTTAAAGCAAATAACAATCTTCATGCGTATTGAACATCAGCTTCACAAACCACTGGAACAGTCATACAAGACGAGAAACAAAAATTGCAATAAAACAAAATCCACACTCCTACGATGCAGGCTAGACAGCTATATACTGAAGGAACAGTCATAAGTCAATATTCCTGCCCATGAATAAATTCTAGAAGATGAAAGCAGACATGGTAGATTGTACAAAACCCATCATCTACAGACATAATCATGAAAAATGAACTTCCAATGACAAAGTAAGAGTAGTACTCGAAATATGTGAATCACAGGCTTTGGCTGGAAGGAACGAAGCAAGCCAATCTACAACCTCTCTTCTCGATCTCCATTTGAGGGAGGACAACCCTAACTTGTTGGACCCGTAAACCTGGCAGAACTTCTCTGACACGACATACAGCATGTGCCGGAGACTCCGTTCGGTGCCGACGACGGCTAGATGGGAGTCTCCAGAAGCGTCCTCAAGGTAGTAATGAACAATCCGGCGCCCACGCTCCTGTGATATGAACTGCTCGCTCCATTTCACAAAATCAGGACCATCTCCCGACATCGTCATGGATCCGACTACCAACACAAGTCAAGGTAGCACTCCAAACAGCAAAGATGACCTATGCACAGGAAGTTCACCAAGCTTGGCCATCACAGAACTTAGGGCTTCACAGAACAAGGGAAAATCCAACAAAATAGGGGCAAAAACTTGGGAAATCTCACGTTGCCGACTCCCCTAGAAAAAGAAAAATCGTCTTCCCTAGAAGAGGACTGCGGTTCCAAAAGCTCGGTGAGGAGGTCTTTCGCGAGGGAAACACCAAAATCGAAGAACAAGAGGGACAAATGGACAAGAGAACCCCAAAGGCGTCACCTTTATCAGAGGAACGGGGCCGGGATCACCCGCTTGAACCGAAAAGGGTTTAGGTTCAGCAAGAATCGCTCCATGATCCTACAGTCCAGCACACCAGAGGCGCGGTCACCTTCCGACCCCGGCCAAAGCTTGGGGAAGAGGCAAGGCGAAGACAAGCCAAGGCAGGACTCGTCTCAGGCAGGGAAGAAAGCAGGGAAAGAAGCGGCGAAACGGTCGGCGGGCAAAGGAGGAGGGTTACGGCGGCGAGAAGAACCGAAGAAAAGAAACGGGGCGACCGAAGGAGCGCGATCGGTACCGTGAGAGGAATGGGAAGGGGGCTTCGTCGGGGTCGGGTTGGGAAGAAGGAGAGAGAGAGAGAGAGAGAGGATGAATCCGTGAAGCTGTAGCAGTTCACAGGCACAAAGGGAGCAGACGGAGACGGTGATGGTAATGATGATGACGACGAACAGCTCTCTCTATCCCTCTCTCTCACAGAGAGGGGTTGGCTGAGGTGGTGGGTGAGAGGTGTGAAACGGGCAATGGGGAAATAGCTGCCATTGGCATCCCACAGCAAAAAGGGAATCTTCATGATGAATGGGGAGCTACAATTTGTTGGTCTGCTGAAGTCCAATAGACACTCAGGTAGAAATTAATTTGTCCTCCTAATCACATCCCAATTGTCCATTTTATATGAGTTTTAAGTCTAATGATCCACAAGTTTGTGATTTCCCCAAAAGAAACCTAACTAACATTCTATAGCTTGTGATGATAATTCGTGTTGAAAAATACGTTGAATTACGATAATGAAAATTTACTAGTATTATTAAAAAATATAATACATTATAAATATATTATAAATATAATTTTTTTTATTAAAATGTATATAAAAATATTATATTATAATATTTTTATATTAATAAAAATCTTATAATAAAATATAAAAATATTATGATTAGATTGATTCATCCTATCAATCGGGCTATAAAAAATGGTATTCCAATTAATAGACAAAAAAATTGATTATTATTAAAAAAAATAAAATGAGAAATGCTTCTTGAGAAATTTTTTTAAGAAAAAGAGTTTAATATTTACAAAAATATTATATTATAATATTTTTAATATTAATAAAAATCTTATAACATAGTATAAATAACTAGATTGATTCATCCTATCGATTGGACTATAAAAAATGGTATTCCAGATAATAGACAAAAAAATTGATCATTATTAAAAAAATTAAAATGAGAAATGGTTCGTGAGAAATTTTTTTTAAGAAAAAGAGTTTAATATTTACAAAAAATATTATATTATAATTATTTTTAATATTAATAAAAATCTTATAACATAGTATAAATAACTAGATTGATTCATCCTATCGATCGGTCTATAAAAAAGGGTATTCCAGGTAATAGATTAAAAAAAAAAAAAGATCATTATTAGAAAATTTTAAAATGAGAAATGTTTCGTGAGAAATAATTTTTTAAGAAAAAGAGTTTAATCTTTACAAAAATAGGTTGATATCTGCTAGGGTGGCTAAGAACAATGTCATACATGTCACTGCCAATCCTGCTTTATTAGGTTTTTTTTGGGGCATATATATATATATATATATATATATATATATATATATATATATATATATATAAAACATGATAAAAGTGTGCATGCAAATGTCAACTTTGTAGCAATGTTACCAGTATGGTAGTAGTGCAGTTGAGTGGCTTTCAAGAGGATGGAGGAAACATTGGACCACAAAATAGACAAAGACCAACTCAATTTAGATCCACAGGATACTTGTCTTCTTGAACATAATGTAAGTTCTAATCCAGTCGGTAACAATGTCTATCCAGGTAGAAATAATGCTCGAGTTTCCACACCCAACTCACACTTGACTTTAAGCCACTAGCTTTTCTCTGTGAGGGAGAGAGACATGAAACAAAACTGGATGTTTCTTGGGCATCTTAAGTTTTCTGTGTTCTGCATCACTTGCCAAAACCTACACATATATAACAATTGTTTAAAGGAACCTTGGTTCTCAACTTTCAGCAGAAAGAAGCATTGAAGCCAGTAACAATTGCTTCTTCCATGGCTGGCCATTGACAACTCCATCCTCTACCTAAGTCCTTGAAACAGCAGTCCAGTCAGAGTGAAAGAGTGATAGATATCCTACAACAGGCTGATCACTCTTCCCTTTTTGGTATGCAGAGATTGCAATGCACTGTAAGAGATGGATAGCAGTCCATACTCCTCTCTCTAAACCAACAGGCCTGAATTTTCACGGCACTTGTTAAACATGAGATGTGCACAGAAGAATCTTGTTCACTGTGAACTCCTAATGACTTCAAGATGAGATGCATCTATTTTGCTCCAGGAAATCTGGACATACACTAACTTTATGTGGAGTATGTATGCATTCAGAAATAGATGATTTAGTTGTCCCTATGCCAATCTCCCTTACAGCAATGCGTGCATACGAGCAAAACTTCATGCAAGTTCTGTAGATATCTAAGAAAACAATTGGGTGTAACTTCTTACACAATCTAATGACAGTCCACCTCACCTACCATTAGTATGAAGCGAAACAGTATTATTATTAGCCCCATCGTTGCAGGCCTAACTCTTTATCTCACTTTGGATGCAACACATTGGATGTGAATCATTTGCATGATATCCGAGTAGTCTCAAAGAGATTGGTTTCGGTCGTCTTCCACAGTGTCTTCTGACTCAAAAAGAAAACAAATAAAAGACTGTTGCTGTGCTTTGCTTTGTGTCATTTTCTCTTGCGTCATTTCCTCATCATCACCTCCAAATGGAGGAGCCCCAATTCCAGGGCAAATATGCAGAGGCTGGCTGAGTTTTAGCCACTCGCATGGCTCAAGTTTGGGTATGGGAAGTCTTGCAACTCTGAGGGAAACATTTGAGGTGCCTCTTTAGGCATGCAAGAGGCAGCCACCATGGCCATTAGTTAATGCTGCAAAACATTCTCCAAAACTCTTGGTCCCCTCCGACTTTGAACCAATGGCTGGTGCTACTGTTTGTGCTCTCAAGGCACAGCTCCTTCCCAGTCCTCAAAAACCATGAATCCAAGCGATCTCATGCATATTAAAATGGAAGTGGTACAGAGGCTAGCTAGCAGGGCCTGCATACAGAGTTAGGGTTCGTAGGACTCTCCTTTTTATATGTTCAGCTTAGCAACTGGCCGACATGGAAGGCATAGTCCTTTTCTTTCCTGCTGATGGGAAGGAGGCACTGTCTCAATTCTAATTGGATGTCATAGTCATGACCTCATAATCCGATACTCGCATTTCCAATCGCCAACAAGTCCTTCTTGCTCTTTCTCTCCCTTGATGAACCCTCAATAGACATGACACTTCACAGCACACTACCAGAGAACAAAAGAGAATCCAGTATAAATGGTTCATGAACATGAGACATCTCCAAAATTTGGTGCACAATGAATACAAAATATTCTTTGTCAAATCATATATTTTACTGCATAAATAAGACATATAACAAAACATGTATAGCTCCAAAGTTTGCAGGCAATCTGCAGGAAACAATAACAGGAAAAAGAAGAGGTAATGTAAAATTAAGAATTGCTGGAGAGACTGATTTCTAAGAATTTCTCGAGATTAATATCATGTGAAAACAATGAACCAGATTATATTGACTGGATCTCCAACATTCAACTGTGTTGGATCTGAATCATGCACTCTAAGGATTCATTGTCCGAGAATACAGGCAATATTTGAGCCGACCGAGCATCATAAACAGGAGACAGAGACCATTAAGGAACGGAAGCATACGAATCTCTGATATTTTGCAGCTTTTAAGAATAGCTCAATCGTACCGCAAGCATTTATACTAAACTGATCTTATCTCAGTTAGACAAGGAAGGAAAAGGATACCAAGTGTCAAGTGGTCTTCTTTATGAGGCTGTAGAGAGCTGCAGCAGGAGGAGGTTCTTCCTTGTTGATGGGCCACCATGGAGTCGCAGAATTCTATAAAGCATATGTAGTTTATGGCTCCTTTTCCTACTCCTTTCTCTTTGGATTTGTCTAATGGAACTTCGGAGGGAAAGCGACATGCGCTTACTTGAAAACCTGCACATGGCATCCCTGCTCTCGAAGTCATTGGAGCTGAAAGCCTGTACAGTGACACCACCACCTTTGGTCCTCCCAAGAGAATCAGAGTAAGAAACAGGACCACCCATCTGGTGTTGTTGGAGAAGACTCAGATGTTGGGGGAAGTAAAATAGGATGGCAATCCATTTCTAGTGGAGCTGTGGGAAATGTGAAGAGGAGAAAGGGCCATCCAGAAATTTCAGTGCTGCTTCAATAGAGAAAGAAGACCAGCTTTCCCACATTTGCTTAGATCTCTCTGCATCTGGCTTCTCGGTATATATTCCTCTTTACTGTGTTACCTCCTTCCTTCCATCTCCTGTGATCTCCTTTTGTTCATGTCACAAGAAGCAGCGTGTTCTGTTCTTCTTCCTTTGTTGCGGGTGGTTCTATGTTGGTGTAAAGGAAGGACTATGGTTTCTTCTCTACTACCTGACATCAGATTTTGCTGTCTTTCTTGAATAGAAGAAATCTTCGATCATTCAATGGCCCCTCCTTGTTTCGTTAGGCTCACAAGAATGGCCATTGCACTCTTCCTCCTCTCCATCTATCTCAGTTGTCACACTAGTTTTTCGCCTTCGACATCGTTTACTTTGTTAGCATCGATTCTATATACGTCTCCATTTTTCATTACTAGGATCAAACGGCTTTGTAAGTTCAACACAATGGAGAAGCCACCGGAAAGTGAGCTCGGTTCAGAGATTATGCCACCGACCGAGACACTGGAAGTGAAAAGAATCATCCCAGAAGAGGGAGGCAATTACGACGTCGACGGACTGCTCCTCGGATCGACAAACCCATCGACGGGATCTGCAGGCCTCGAGGTAGAGGAAGAAGATGACGAGCAATCCGTCGACTCTTTAGTCTCAAGTCCACCATGCAATTCACTTGGAACCGAATCGGAATCGCCAAACCATTGCTTTCGATCAAAGGAGAGCTCAGAATGTTCGATGTCAGATGATGAAGGCCTCATTGAGATCGCGCTATCGGATGGTCATTGTGTTGCACCAAGAGAGTCAGATGGACTCTTCATCCCATCACAGCCGGAGATGAAGAGAGGGTTGTTGCCGGAGACCGCGTTCAGGCAACATGGAATTATGGAGCTCTTGTCAGAAATTTACGAGGAGGATAACCTGATCGAGATCGACATCGCCAGGGGCTCCATCAAGTGCTCAAGATTGGAAATAGAGGCGTGAGCAAGGTAAGCCGAGTAGTGTATCTTTAGTGGCAGCTTCCGTGAAGATGTAGCATATAGTTGAGATCTTAAAGGGTTTACTGTGGTTTCTCCTACTCTGCCATTGCTCTTTGCGGCTCTCCTTAAATCCTGGAATGCTGCTCGAAGTCCTAAAACACATGAACCATTTCTTCCTTTGATCACCGAGATTAATCTCTGTGTTAATTTCTTTAGAACCCTTTCAGGTTCCAAATTGGTGCTTTATGTTTTGTCCTTGATTTGTCTTTCAGCACACTTCCTCCTCTGGCATTACAAGTGTGACTAAGTCCATAAAGTTGGCATCATAATGACAGCAATATAAAGAAACCTATGGGTTCTACATTAAGCTAATTCCGAATTGGTTTTGCAGGGACTAAAAGCCTTCAGAGTTAACAAGAAATATGCTTATCAGTATAATGTTCAATCATAGAAGGATAAGGGATACAGATTAGATACTCAATTCTGAACCATCTCAAGCAACAACCATTTGGTAACTGGATATGTGTCTTGATCAGATTCAGCTGTCCTCAGACAGTATCAAGGTAGATAATTTCATGTCTGTGAATTGCTACCGCTTATAGTTTATAGATTTGTAGCACAATATTTCAAAGGTTCTCAATAATTGCAAGTGTGAAAGATACACTCGGATGTTCCAAGGAATAGAAGGAACAAAAAGGTACTGAGAAACGTGGGACATTAGTTTTTCTCTCGGAGTTGTCTTATGTCTTCCTCCGTGTGTGTGTGTGTGTGTGTGTGTGTGTGTGTGTGTGTGTGTGTGTATCCTCTTCCTCCTGGACATCAGTGGGGAATGGTTGTGCTTCTCTCCATATTTGGCTTGAAACCTGACTGATTGAGAAGAAGAAGAAGAAGAAGAAGAAATAAATAAATAATGGTTCATGTGATTTGGTAAAGTAAGATGGCAAGATGATCCTGGCAGAAATGAGGAGCTACTGTGATATATATGTATGTATGTATATATATATATATTGCATCTCATTTGATGAAGTATATAATGCTGCTGGAAATCACTGGTGAAGTCTGCTGCAAACTCAAATGAAACCTTAAGATGATTGCTGATAGCAACCTGAAGTATATAGAAAGTAAATAATAATTATAGAATATGGAAGGCCCCCATGCTCTTCTGTTTTTTCTTCATTTTAAGGAGAGATATAGATATTAAGGTCGAATAAGATAAAATAATTAGTATCGGTGGTGGGAAATGACTTTTAAAGACTATCAAAGTATGTCTTCGTAATTACGAACTATTATTGTCACATCATTCAAATATGTCTTTGTAATTAATTGTTGATCATATATTTTTGATGGTGTATAGAGAAGCTGCTGCTTTGAGTCACTTCAAATTCTACACTCGCTTCTAATTATCCTCAGATTAATGGCGATGCCATAAACATCATTAAGAAGGCAATTTACTCAAACCTCTACTTCTCATGCTCCCAACAGTAGAACATCAAATGATGCGTATCTTTGAGCAGCAAAAAGGAAAGAAAAGAGCAAACAAAAGAGAGATGTTTTGGTTCATCTTTATGTCTCTCATGTCCATTGCTGGCTGTTCACCTCCGAAGAATGCTGTCACATGTCAGCTTCCCCTCAAGATCACCTATTATTCGGGCAACTCGCACCTCCAAACCTTTCTGTACTTGCCTAAATATGGTTCTTATGATGTCTGCGAATTGCCTCAAGTTGAAGCCTATAGATTTGTCATGCGCATCAGATCCAGAAAAGCTAGAGTTGATCTTCGACTGTATCTCCATGAACCTTTGTCCTGTCGCCACAATATACTTCTGTAGCTCAAATGTCTCTTCTAGGTAGCACTTGAGCGTTTCGGTTTGTTCCCTTGTCCTGCTACCTTGTGAGTCTCTTCTGCTCCCTGATCTGTAAGTGTCATGCTGAGACATCAGGAGGAAACAAAGAGATCAGTGAGATGTGTACAGGCATCGAAACAAAGTTGCAAAGAATTAAGCTTAGTCTCACCATTCTCCTGCACAAATCATCGGTCTTCTCTTCGAGTGACTGATATCTTTTCACTTGTTTGTTGAGCAAAGATTTTGTCAGGGAGAACCCCTTCATCTTTTGCTTGTTCTCATCGATCTTTCTGTCATTAGATCCAACAGTTAGAGCATCCATGGCTGTCAACTGTTTGCTTGCCAGTAATCCAGCCAACTTCTCGAGAACAAGTAGCTGCTGCTTCAGCCTTCTGATGTTGTAGGACACTCCAAGAGCATGGATATCTGTCTTCCAGGAAGATTCCTCCTTTGCAATCGATGGTTTGGTGGATGACAACTCGTCGGAAATTGCAGCATCTCCTTGCGAGCTGTTTGCCTCGTTAGCATTACCTGGATCCACACCTACATCCTTCACTTCTTTGATCTCAGTTTGGTCCTGCAGTGGATTCTCCTTCACTCTTTCTGGCTGTTCTGCAGATAGTTTACCGGTGCGGTGTCTGTCATGTTCCTGAACATGACTGGTTTGTGACGGTGAACTAGTAGAATTAGTACTGGTGTTAATTCCACTGTCTTTACTTGATTCCAACTGCATCAGACTATTCTTCTCCGGTGTTTTTGCGTCCGATTTGTGGGCCTTTGAATCCTTCTCCTTCTCCCTTGACTTCCTTTCTTTGATCTTTTGTTGACCAGCGTCGGGACTGGGAGAACAGTGTAGGTTGCTCTTCTGGTACTGCTGAAGAAGGAAGCTGAGTTGCTCCTTCAATCGCTTCGCCTCCTTTTCCTTATCCAACAGCTTGGCTTCCAATCTGATGTTTTCCTCCCTGAGGTGGGATAGATTCCCATCGACTCCTTCGATGTGAGACTGGAGCATCTTCGTCTCCAGCTCCTTGCTCAACATCTGACGTTGCAGAGCTTCAAGCTTCTCGTCCGTTTGCCTCATCTGTTCTGTGAAAGCTTCCATCTCTGCATGATGTCTTTGCTCAAGGATGGCTGCGTACTTCTCGGTTCCGGTTCGAACCCAGTCTTGTAGCTGTTGGAACTCGTCCTCAAGAATCTCTGAGGCAAAAGAATCAAGCTCAGAGAAGCAAATCATGCTATGATGAATCTAAAGATGCAGTTCTTTGCATTAAATTGCTTTGAATTTGACAAAAAAAAAGATCGATATGATGAACAGGAGATTCAAATTAAAGACAACAGTATGGAAATTGTACCAGTTTCATCATTTCTGTCAGTTGAGTAAAGATCCAAACTCTTGCAAGTCGAAGAGGAGTGATCTCTCCTGCTCTCAGCTTCCAAGTACTCCATCAGAAGATTCTTGGGGTTATGTAGCCTACTCTCCAGCTGCAGCCGCGCCCTTCGTTCTTGAGAGCACCCTGCCTCCACAGACCGCAAAGCTCTCGAGCTCCTCTTGTGCTTCGATTCCCACGTTTTTCTCCACCTCTCCATCTCTACTTCGGCCTGTTTCTGCTTTGCTCTCAATGCCTTGACCTCTCTTAGCAGCATCTGCCTCTCTGCTGTGTCAAGCTTAGATTTCCTTAGCATCGCGGATAAGATTTTGTCTTTCTGCTCGCGGTCCTTTTGGATCTTCGCGACATCCCCAGAGAGCTTCTCAACCATTGCATCGGCTTCTTCCTTTTGTTGAATTGCCCCCTTGAGCTTCTCCTTTGCCACCTCAACTTGTCCGAGGGCGTGGCCCATCTCGGATTCCATTCGGCATTGGTTCGATAGAAGCTCCATCAAGGTGGCTTTATGCTTCCAGAGTTCCTCCGAGTGGGCCTGTGCTTCCTTCTTAAGCCCCTCGCTCAATTCTTCTGCCGCTTGTTCAGCCAATTTCAACTTCATCTCCAAATCTTTTCTTCTCTTTGCTTCTTCCTCCAATGACTCCTTCATAGTCACCACCAGTCTCTCCTCCTCCTCCTCGAGTCTCTTCTTTAGATTCGAGACGGCCTCTTCATTGCTCGACCTGAGGACGCACATCTCACCTAGCTGGGCTTGGATCTGATGCCGGAGGCTCCTCCTCTCGGCAATCCAGCTATGTTCACGAGCGGCGAAGATGCTGACTACCTTCTCGTTGGCCTTTGCGTCTTCGGTCCTCCTCCGCTTCAGCTCTGCGACTTCCGATCCGGCTTCCCTTAGCTTCGCCTCCAACGCCTCTCCCTTCCTTTGAGCTCTCTCCACGAGCAATCCCAACAGCTGGGCGCTCCCTTTGAGCATCATTTCTCCGACGATCGACCACCTGACGTGCTCCAACCGGAGCTCTCTGGTCCTCGACATGAGTCGAAGAGCAAGGAAAGAGCACGCGACGCCAAAATACATCGGATAGACACCATCATCCACCTTGTCAGGTGAAGATAAAAGATCTCCACCTATCATTTGCCGTAAAATCTTCTGCTTCACGCTTCACCCAGATGACAGGAAGAAGGCAAGAACGGAACCGCTGCCTTAATTGCTAGTCTCAGGACAAGAAGAGTCTCTGACGCTGCAGATGACAACCACATCCAAATTTACTTCAGGTGGTACCAGCAGCTACGCAGATCTTCCCAGTACGATTGAGAGCTGAGAAGGGCACGACCGCTGCCCCATGAATCATGTGAGCCTGGGAGCACTTACAGCCTGAGATGGGCACCTGAAAGGAAATCTACACGCAGGGACGACGGAGATTCCATGCGTCAGGAGAGCAGGCATAAAGCTGCATGACAGAGTTCCGGGTTTCCAGTGAAAATGACCAGCCTACTCGTCCACTTTCTTCCATTCTTTCCCCTTCCATCCTCTTCTTGGAAACAGCCAAGAATCGGAGAAGGAAAAGAAAAGAAAGCAGTCAAGATAGCTGGCATTTTCCGCCCACGTAAATCCATGCAGAGAGGATCACATTCCACTGCGGAAAGCAAAACCAATGAATCGAGGCCATGAGCAAAAGCAGGAGACGGTGGTGGACATGCAACATGAACTCGCAGGCCCCGGGACCAGTTTGCAGTGTGCCCATGTGGTGCTTCGGTAGCAGCAAGCCTCGCTTTGGACTCGATGGTGGAACTGCTGCTGCGAGCAGTTCAGGTGACAGTAGCACGCACTCGTCCTTTCATCTGATGTAAACTTCTGTTCCACATATGAACGCTTTGAAGGAGGAATCGTTAGATGGAGATAGAGACGACGTCTACGTCGAACGTATGTTGGTATTTGTTTCATACTATTCTTCAGCAGACGTAAAACAAGAGCACATGAATGTTCTTCCTATGCCTCATCTCCTTTTGCTACGTAAACAATATAGAACTCGCCGAGGCCCCATTTCTTCTTGTCATCACCATCGTCATTATTGATGGCTCATTACGAACCCATCCCGGGAAAGGAGGCTTTCTTCGTGCCTGTTGTCGACACTCGGCGGTCTCCTTTTCGGAGTTACGTAAAGCGGGGTGATGCCGAAGAAAAGTAGTACGTTTGCAGATCCCAAGATAGTTTCCATTCCGATGAGAACCGAGACCCCGGTGGCACAGATTTATGGCTTGCATCTCCTTGTCGCTCTGACCGGTGGGAACAGCCCCCTACTGTTCTGTACAGGAAAAAGAGGCTCGTCACATGGAAAGCTCGTTCTTTTTCTCCCAACCCTTTCCGGACTCGGTTGGTCAATCTACAATGATGAAGCTTATTTGGTTGCACGGGAACAGAAGTTCGATGATTTGGAATCATCTCATATCGTTATCTTTTTAGGCAAATCGAAGGGCTTGTGGAATATATCATGAGCACCTGAGCTTTGTGCCTCTGATGATATACTTGTAACTCTGCTTTGAGTTGTCCACTCCTGTCTCTACTGAGTTCCACTTTGCTGGTCCTCATCAGTGGGCTGACTGTCTTTGTATTGCGAAGTATGGAAGAAGAATCAGCAATATGTCTCAAGATGTTGGAAGAAAAGTAGGAAAGGTTGAGAATTATGTTCCTGTCTGCGTTGGTAGGTTGAATTATGCACTGTAGGCAAAGTAATGCATTGAAGCCAAGACACACAATGAACTGTTGCAATTGTAAGGAACAATCTCACTTACAGAAAATGAATTCAACAACCGATGTCTACATTAACGAGGTCAGAGTATGATAAAGTGATTTACCCTGCCCAAGTATGAATTTATCATCCCAAATTCGATCGTATGAAGGGGTCGAGGAAAATATCGTACCACACGACCAAGGATGATGAGCAAAGATTCTAGTACTTCCGCTTCCGTATCTTAAAGCTCGTCGACCTGATAACATCATCATCGGTGTTGAGCCTGGACTCCAGAACAGCCAAAGAATCAGGTTTGGTGAAATAAGTGAAGAGGAGGTATATGCCATCCAAGTATGTGTTGCTCTCCCCTGCCTTGTTCTTTTTCTTTATGCTGTATGCAAGTGGGATCACTCCGCGGTTAAACACCTCCACATACATTCCACCCCCTGCAACAAGCAACTGCAACATATACCACGGCAGATGTAAGCCGAGAAACAGGATTTATTTCTTGGATGGTTTGAGAAATGCAAAGCCTGATATCTGATATAAAAGCCAAATAATCACGTCATGTATTATAACAAGCTTGCAATGAATATGGACATAAACCAATTGCGAAATCCAATTTCAATAGTGAAAATCTGAACTTCTCTGGATACAAGGTTTAAACAGAATCCAACCTTGGAGACATTTGGAGGAACATCAAAGTGAATAATCACAATCAGGCACATGCCAAGAGCAGCAGAGAGAAGAGAGAGAGAGAGAGAGAGAGAGAGGCGTGCAAGTGCAAAATAAACCACCAAAGGATGGCTCAAAGTACAAAAGACAACTAACATACGTGTAGATGACCGCATTAGTTGTGATTCAAAATTCATTCTTGTTGTACAAAGTACTAAATAATAACAGGATGAGAGAATGATATTTAGAATCAAGTGACATTACCGAAGCTTTATACCTCCACTCAGCACATAAAAGAAATAAAAGTAGCTCCAAGTGTGATCAGCTCAGTGTAAAAGTATAGATCTCATTTGAAGTCTAGACTAAAGAAAAGGAAGCAGAGTTTACCTCTTAACTAAAGGATCCACAAGGCCAGCTTGACAAAATGACAAATGACCATGACTAGTATCTCGAAGATAAAATTTTCCAGAATGGACGATCCACATTCAAAATTTTCATTCCTAATCCTAATTCTAAAAAATTGCTTGAAACATTTTCATATTCAAGATACACCAACACTTTTGAGCATGAACCTCAAAGCAAGAAAAAGGGTTAGCTGTGCAGCAAAACTTAATCAGCCTAGCATCAACTATTTCCAGAAATGACAATGCTAGCAAAAAAAGGCATTTGTAATAAACTGCTTGACAACAAATAGAATTCAACTTTATTTTAATAGTTCTACCATAAAGATTTACTCTTTAAGACACTCCTCACAATCGAAGCAATCTGCATCAAAAAAGGCATTTGTAATAAATTGCTTGACAACAAATAGGATTCAACTTTATTTTAATAGTTCTACCGTAAAGATGCAATCCGCATATGAGGAAAGTATGCCAAGACTGATCTTATAGATGAAGGAAAATGGCAACGAAGAAACATTAGTTAGAAGAAAAAAGCTCTCATTTCGAAACTAAACCAACCAGATTGGTGCAGAAACCAAGTTCACACCCAGGCATGGAAACAATGAGTTCAGGGGTCCTCAATGTGTTCACAAGGTGGATTCTAAATGGAAATAAAGCAAGGTAGCGAAGGTTGTAAGTAATACAAATGGTCATGGATTGCATTCGCTTACATATTTTCAGTTATCTATGATTGGATGTTAGGGAGGATCTTTAGAAAAAGAGTAAACCAATATGATCAGATCCCTTGTTTACACATCACAAAAAGTGAAACATGTGGTCTACTAGAGGGCACTTGGCGATAAGGTACCTAGAGTGCTAATAGCTAAAGCAGTTTCCTTTACATGTTCCAGCATAACCTTTTGTTCAAGGACAATAAAGTCAAAGATGTAGAGTGGCAACGTTTTCTTGATCCCTAAAGGACATCAATGACTATGAAGGCCGAAACAATCAATCTAGAGATGTCCTACCATACAGGTGGTGAAATTAGACAACAATGACTGTTCACTTATGTTCACTACAAAGGGCCCATGCTCCCTGAAAGGCACTTTAGAACATTGCTAAAAGTGTCTTATGAAGGAGTTGCAGTATGTACGATTTCAAAAGTAATCTTCATCATTAAGCACAATTTTGTCCGGTGCCAGTCTATGTGCTCACCTTAGAATAGATCCACGTTATCTATTTTGGACCAGTAATCTTAATTTCCATGCTATGTGCTTACTTCTTTGATTCATTATCGACTGGTAAGATCCATTGAACCCACTTTTGATTATGTCTTGTTTGATATGTACTAAAGCATTTGATTGTAGCCGTTCTCCACCATAGATATAGTGACATAACAATGACACCACTTTCGATGAAAAGCATATCCACCTTATCCTTTCATGACTTAATCTGTGTTCATAACTTCAACCTTTGAAATTCAATCCATTATATAAACAATCAAAATCAACCAAAACCAATGGTTGTTTAATTTCTTTCTAAAATGCTTAAAAAAAATCAAATCTTGGCGCATGTAGCGAGCTTTTCGAAAATGATCAAACCCATACCTTGAGATTTCTTTGAAGCTTTTGGGCTTAACATTTAGTACAATACTTAATTTCCGTAAAAAAATTACATTTTTGATTAACTCAAGAGACTAAAAGAGAAGAAAAGAACAAATACCTCCTCATATCGTTGAATTAGGGCAAGGCGCTCGTCCTCGGTCATGTCGGGACGCAGCACTGCCATGGTCTCGTACTGCCGAAGGCCCGGAGGGCACTGCGGCTCCTCCTTGTCCTCCAAGGCCACGCCGGCGGCGGCGGAGGCCGAGGGGCCTTCCTCCTCATTCCCTCCTCCCTCAAAGAAAGAGCCCGAGAAATCAAGCGTCAGTGCTCGAATCGACAGAGCCCGCCGGTGGGTTCGGGCTCCGGGAGATGGCCGAAGGAATTGGCAAGCGGAGATCGAAGAAGAAGATAGGAAACCCAAAGCATAGTGAGAAGAGCGGAGTTTAGCCGGCGAAGGAGAGACGGCCAGAGATGAGGCCATAAAAGCCATTGGAGTAGAAGGATCGAGCGAGAAAACAGAGCGGATAAGGGCGAGTGGCGTAATAGCGAAGGTATTAATGGGCTCATCTAAAGCGGCCCACATCTAAATTGGGCTTCGAACTCTTGGTTTCAGTCAACTTCCAGAATTCCATGTCAACGTCCCCATTAATTTTAGCTTCAGGTAAATCCTTAGCGTTTGGCTTGAACGACAGTTTGCTCCCACTGCAGCACAAACACCTTCGTTCGGTGATTCATGGTGCTCACATGAACCAGTTGCCGGGTTGACTGGAGCATGCACCATATCTAGATGATCCAACTGTCTCCAGAGCAAGTTCTTCCCTTCGAAACTCAATGAGAAACTACGTACCATCCTAATTCAAAGTTAACCAACTGCGGCCACGGATTCTTCTCTAACCTCAACCTGACATGAGAAAAGTATCCAACAGCTGTTTCGTATCGTACTGGTCAACGTTGTTCCTTGACAAACCTCCAAACCCGACAAGGAACTTGGTGAGCAATCCAAGGAGGCGTTCCTTCTTCGTATGCTCCAGTTGGAATGGATTCTAAATCAAGGAAACGTGCCGCAGTAGGTCAACCATGAAGACTTGTACGCAAGTGGAGATTGATGCTGTTAATCCATGTTGTATAATTCAATCTAGGAAGCATATTCTACGATTATTGCAGTAATATATATAATGAGGCCACGCGTGTGCATGCGCAGTGACCAAATCAAAGATGCTGCTTCGAATCCAAGCATGCCACCATCTATATAAATTAGAACAGCAAGGTAGATTTGGTCGGCAAAAGAAAGGCGAAGGAGCCGGACACGCATGTCTGCCGACAAAAAGGATCAAGCCGGGGCATCGGAGGGCGAGGCGGACGGCGGTGGCGAGCGCGCCGTGCGGCCGCGTTACGAGCGGTGGCTCTCCGGCCTCGAGCTGGCCATGGAGGCTGGCCCGCTCAAGGACCTCGACCCGGAGAAGCTGAAGAATGAGATCAGGAGGTGGGCCAAGGCGGTCGTCGCTTACGCTCGCCAGCTGAGCTTTGGCGCCGTCGACAGGTCGGAGAGCTGAACACTGTGTAGACGATGCTTCTCGGACTGATCCATGTAGCTAAATCTTCATTCGTTGTGTACATAGTTTGATTCGTTCGGTTCGTTGGGCTTGATATGGCGAAGAAGATGGTGGCAGGAGAACGCTCTGTTTCTCCGTTGACCGCCTACTCTTAGAATAAAAGTGAGCAAGCAACGATTCAGGTTCTGCTCCACCATTCTTTGTTGGTTCGCAGTGAAGTCTCGATCTTTCTAATTCATGTTTTTGTTTCTCGTGAGATATCCATGGTTTCTCTATGGATTTCCATCCACATAATTCTTCATGATTCATGGACGATCTGGAAATGTTTTGTATCAACCCTGCGCCGACGTTTGGTGTCAGAATCTGAACTCAATGCTTCTCGTTGGATTTCGTGGTCATGTTTTTGGTGTTCGTCGTGGTTGATGTGATCGATGTTGATCTGTGAAATCTTGATGTGTAACGCACGTTTGCTTGATGAAACCCAACCTTCACGATGGGTATCAACTCATACTGTGTGTGGCTAATCAGCCAATTAACAATATGACTCTCTTATAATTACAAAGTATTATAAGCAAGTATAAATACCTCTACTCACATTAAATAGTGGCCATGGTCTCCCTCTGTTGAAATTATTCATGACTTCACATCAAATTGCTTTTACACCATCCAAAAGAATGTATGGTAAATGCATGAATATGAAAATTATGATCATTCACGAAAAGAAAACAAATTACAAAACAATGTTACAGAAGAAATTGCCTTTAATATTTAACACCAATATCTTAGCTGCACAATGAGGCCAACCAAGGAAAGAAACATAGTAAAACTTATTATTACATTCATAAACAAAATCTCATAGTGAGAGAAATTGCCTAGGACATCAACATACACAAATCTGGTCGGCAGAAAATATAGAGAGAGAAGTAGAGTAATGAGCTGTATATGCTGAAACAAGCTACAAAAATAGTGAGCACTAGGGCTCCTTGGTTATGTTATCATATTTACAGGTAACTAGAAGAGAGGCAAGACACTTCTGATGCCAGAGACAAGGTTGCAACAGTCTCATGCATCGATGTCACTTCCATTGAGCCCTTTGAGAGAGGCATCAACGATCAGGAACATGTGTCTCTACAAACACAATCATGAGCCATGTTGCTGCTGCTCTTCTTGTCTTGACTGGAAAATCCTTGCCGTTGATTGCGTCGCAGACCTCGCGTTGCGAGGCACCACCTTAATGGAACGAGTTCGATTATCCCTACTGCTTAATTGTGATGGAGCAAGGTTCTCTTTGGCTGGAGCCATCGGGAAGAGGGGCAATACATCTCTTGCCTCTGCTTGTGCCTTCTCACAAGGGCTGCTTGCTGAGCTTCCTTGTAGCTCGGTGTCTTTTGATGCTTGGAACATCCGAAGATGGCCACTGATTGCTTCACTCCTCGAACGGGAGATGTTGCATGAGCTCCTGGAGTTCTAATCAATTTGTCCATTGGGTCGAGAACAAGCCAAATTGCTAACCTGTTCGACTGGGGAGGTCGAGATTGTTGGATTCATGTTGGGAGGACCATAAGTTGGAAAGTAATTGGTTGTAATTGCCGAAGCACGAACACCCAAACTTGGTGACCCATGAAATGCTGCAACACCATAAACAGTGTTCATGAAGTTTCCTGCTAAAGGAGGTAAACCGAGAGGTGTACAACTTGCATAAACGGGAGCCAAGAAACCACTAGTTGGTGCACTAGGCCCTGAATAAGGCTTGTAAATTAGTCCTTTTGAAGGTGACATAACAAGAACTAGCCACTGATTTTCCAGTTGATGGAAACACCAAGGAGTTGGATTGTAGTCTGGGGCTGCGGAAACTGATGGTAGATACTCAGAGTGAGGCCCTCCATCAGCTCCCTCCTCACAAGTAGGAAGAGGTGGGTTTCTGGCGATGTTCTCGGTTGGTCGTTCCTTCTGGTCTGATTTCTGGCGATCATCTTTCTGTTTTTCTTCGTCTCATTGAGAATTCTTACAATCGAGCAGTGGAATCTTCGAGGGGATTTTCGCTGGAGATCTGCACAAATATGGATTGCCTTCAAGGAGAAGATAAGGTGATCCAGCTATCGACTTCTGAACCTGTTAAATAAGGGTCAATCTCATATTATCTAAAGTTTATGGAACTTTTGATGCACATGCTAGATCATTCATTATATAACTGATGATGAAACCATCTAACCTTTATTAGTCTATGCAGTTCAAACACTTGTATTGCAAAAACCCTCTGTTGACTGCAAAAAGGGGGCAGGAACCATCAGAATGAAACCTATAAAGAATTGCAGCAGGAATGAGAAAAGCATGCTTCTATCATTTTATAGATTCGATATTAATGATTCAATCAAGTGAGAAAATTCAAAATTTTGATTCTGCAGCTCCACAAGTCTTGAACTAGCGTTGTTTTCTGCCGATATACAAAGCACAATACTATATATCTAAATGTATCTGCCAGCATAGTCATCCTAAAATAATACTAGAAATTTCCATCTCTCTTCAAGGTTCCAATCGACCATCTTGAATTTTTATGAAAACCACATCACATTTCTTCTTTCATTAAATCATACACACACAGCAAACTGCAATCTTATACAACCCCTAATTTGACCAATCTTAACCATGTCTCAAATTTCATCTTGGGCCATTTTGGTAGGTCATCATCATCATTAATCAACATTTGATGAAAATATGATCTCCTTTCTTCTATAAGGATAAACATATGTGAGAAAATGCACTCTCGAGAAATACAAAACAGCAAGCACAGCAACAAATTCTTAAATTATCACATAGCAATAATTTAAGAACTTCTTAAATGATTACATAATATATGTTTGAATAGCGAAAAAAATAAAAGAGTACTGTACATACTTGACGATAGCTCTTCTGGCTTTCCAAAAAAATGCTTCGGGCCAACTATACCAACAACATCATCCAGAGATATCTCCAAGCCAGATAAAGAATCATCCATCGAGGCCTCAGAAGTTTCATCCTTTCTTTCTGCATCTCCAACCCCCAGTGACCCATTTTCCTTTACACTGTTTTCTAGATTACAATTGTCTACATCATTTGGAGTTCTGTGTCTCTTCTGTGAAGCATCTCCATTTTCTACATTTGAAGTCCTAGGTCCACTTAGATCATCATTTCCGTAAGGTTCTCTGCATGATCCTGTATCTCCACAGGGTGATTTCTCAACATCTCTAAGAATAGCACTGTCTAAAACTTTGGAGACGATTGGTAGCTCAGGAACTCTAGCGGTTGGAGACCTTTCTCTGGGTAGTGCAATTACTAAGCTTTCTTCAGATTGTTTCATCTTCTCAGATTCACCAAAATTTCTTGATTTCTTATTAGCAGTATCTGTTTGTTCAAAGGGCTTGCGATGAGAAGTTGAGCATTGAATTGAAGAATTTAAGTGTAGAATAGGGAATCTTCTGTTGAGCATTGAATTGAAGAATTAAGTGTCGAATAGGTGTATCCTTCTTGGAGCATAGAGCAGCTTCTGATAGATTGAATGTAGGAACCCTAAAATCATCCACATCATCCAACTTGTTCTCATAAAAAGATTTAGATTTGTAATGTTGTAGTGGACTACATTGAGCAACCGATCCCGTAACATTCAAATTTCTAGAATTTCCATGCTTCAAGGATCTCTCCTCCAACAATGAGTTGTGATATATTCCATTAGATGATTGAGAGTCAACTCTCTCTGACGAATAAACAGGCATGTGGCGAGGCATATAAAATGGACAAAGAACGTCTTTCTCATGGCCACATCCCTACAGGACGATAACAGTTGTTAGAAATAAAAAATGCAGTACAAGATAAAAGCCTAGTCTTTGCTGACTTAAACAAGATGCAATTATTTCATAAAGCTACAGGCCACTTGATTTCAGAAGTGGCAAACGGAACAAGCCTTGTAATGCCCTAGTTTACTCCCACAACATCAAAAGTGAGAGGATATATTATCATTAACTTGAGCTTAAGTATTTTAGGTGAACAGTTCAAGTTCAACAAATTTAGTAGGTCAGGTATCCCATCGAGCCAAATCATCACAAATGATATCAGACTCGACCTAGCATAGCATCATTATCAAACATAATCAGAACAAAGAGCTGAAACTTTCCTTCATTGCATTCTTAAGTCTACTGCCCTTGATTTTTCATACAAACACAGGCACACATAAGGTTTTCGCCCCAGTCTTTCACTCAATAGGCTTCATGAACCAGTATAACAACAAATCAAAAATTTCGAATAATGAATTAACCTGGCTCGAAGAATCAGAAGGAACCAACATGCAGGTATTCCGATAGGGCAGCTGCAGAGCAGAAGACGGCCGACTTAACCTCTGCGAAGGAACGCTGAGCTGCTCATAGAGGGCCATCTTGTTCCTCGGAGGTGATCTCGGACCACCTTTTTCAGTATCATTTACATGGAGCCTCGGAAACAGAGTCTCCATGATCTGATTCTCCTCCATTCAACGCTTTAACTTTACCACAACACTGACCCTAGAAAACATCCAACGAACGGAAGAAGCTCAAGGAAACACATCCCAACTCCCATCTCCTTTTCCAGAACCAAATCGGTCCTCTAAAAATCTCACGTTCTAATACCCAATCCAAGTTTCCAACTTCCACCTTCCAGTACAGAAAAGAACCAATTTCTTTCACCGGAATCACAAAACAAGATGCAAGCTTGAAATCTGGCTGGTGTTCGGGGAGAAGAAAAATCCAACCTTGTAGCACACGCACCTCGGAATCAAGGACAGAATCCTTCAAAAACGAGGCCCAACAGGACAAAAACCGATCTTTCTGCACGAACAAGGCGTCAAGAACCCACACGACAAGGACTGCGACACGGAGAAGGAACCAAACTTGGAATGACGAAATCAGGAACCGTGCGACGCCGGGAGGCGGAGATGGAAGAAGGAAAATGGCAGTGCACTGGACAGAACAGCGACCACAGAGAACAGGAGGGGCCGAGAGAAAGAGAGACGGATTCAGGCAGAGGATCCCGAAACGCAGTAGAGAATCCAAAAGAGCAAGGGAAAAGAATCGAAAAAAGCGCAAAACAGTGGGCCAATATGGATATTTTTTAGGGTTCCATTGTGTCGTCAAAAATACCTAACGTGGCATCCTCTACAAGCTTCCATGTACAGTTAAGGATACTCTCACATCTCGACCGTCCATTTATGTCAGGCTTCTATCCAAATTCGACAAAGATGGGGATGGACGGCTGATGAGGGGACTCGTCTCAATTGGACGAGCAATCGAATAATTATTCACGTGTTTATCGTTTTAATATTTGATTTATGATCGATCAGATACCATCTTGGCTGTGGTCAATCTCTATAATCCAATTTATGGCGATATCAAGTGTGAATTCCAGACTATATCGAATCAAGAGGGGAAAATAATTAGTAGGGAACAAAAAAAGATCCATTAGCAGTTGAATCTGCTCATGCTGATATATAGTTCAAACGAACAGTTGAAAGCACATCGTGATCGATCCATTAGCAGAAGAACTAAGAAATTGTTGGGTTGGGTTGATTGCAGTTTGTCCCGGAGAAGAAGAAACTCGTACATGAGTAGCTAACAGGATGATAAGATAGCTCACTGTCTTGATAGAGAGAATTCAACAACAGCGGATGACCATTATTTCTTATGCAAATTGATTTACCCGTCCTAGAGATAGCTGCTTTGATTTCATACCAGCTGTTTATAGAGCAGTACATCCATGAAAGAGGACATGACAGTCTTCTGGCAATTCAACACCAGCGGATGACCATTATTTCTGACGCAAATTGATCTACCTGTACTAGAGTTAGCGGCTCTCCCTAGATTTGATTGCATACCAGTTGCTTATGGAGCGGTACATCCATGAAATAAGGCATGACAGTCTTCTGGCAAACCAAGTGGCTTCTGTTGAAACCTCTGAGTGAAGCCAAGAACATGAAACAGAAATGTTCAGCTAGGGCAGCCGATGCCAATCACAAAAAGTTCCTTTGATCTCAAAGAAACAGAACCCTCCTTCTGAGCGAAGAGAAGAGGCAGAGCAGATAAAGGCACAAAGAGCTAAAAAGGGGCACTGTCTCTAGCTAGTCAACTCGCATCATCATCAGAAAAAGAAGCTGGAAATCCTGTTTATTTTCTCATATGATATGTTCTTTTTGTATGACATGAGAAACTGTTACATAGTCATTCAGGAGACTTGAGTGTATAAACTGGTAAACGTTTTCTTTTCATCTCTCTCTGCACCATGCGCTCCCCAGTTCTGTAATAGATCTTCTCCAGTGTACCTCTGCTGATGAGGAAGGCATGACAGAGGTGTAGTAGGTGATGGTTTGTATGGGTAAGGTCACTGTGAAAAAAGAGATTTCGGTATGTAGTTTAAGCTATACGAGGAAGGCATGTCGATTGTGACAGATCAAGGTTGGTTTATGGCCCATGAAAAGAGGTCTTGGCAAAGTGAATTGCTGGGGCTAAAGATACAAATGATCGAAAAGCTGGTCTATTATTCTTCTTCCTATTGGGCTTTGGTTAGGTGAAGTTATGGCTGAGTGAGTTGAGTACGTAAGATAAGCTTTGATGAGCCCTGAACCCCCACCCAAGCTAATGATGAAGACGATGATGTCCTTTTGGGTGCTTAGGACTTCATGTGCTTGGCTGCAGAGTTAGGGTTTCTGAGTGGGGAGAAGTCTTTGCATTATATAAGCCTGATTCAAAGCAAGCGGGAAGGAGTGCATGGCACTGTTCCTATCATAGTTCCTGTTACCTAGGGTTTCCAAGTTCCTCACCTGGGTCTTCAGGAACTTGAGGTAGTTGGCGGCCTCATCAAGCATTGTTGCAGTGTCCATCTTGCTCCCTCCGGGGACAAGCTTCTGCAGAATCCTCAGCCTCTCACCGATCCGTTCCCTCCTGTGCCTTGCAGCCACCGTCTGTGGGTCGTTCGATATCTTCACGTTCTTTCTCTTTGGCTTCTCGGCCGCTTCCTCCGCCACCAGAGTCACCGGCCTTAGGGCTGCAGCCGTGTAGATCATCTCCTTCACCTGCGCTATAGCCTCGGTGTCGGGCTCGTAGTTGCTTCCATGACCCAAGCTTATGGCCGAACACCCTGAATGCATCACTGATCTTGGTTTCTTCAGTTTGTGCTGAGAACTAGCAATCCGAAGACCTTCTTCCTTGAGCAAGGGTCTCGGTCGGAGAAGACCTTCGGTGCTTCCTCCGATCCTTGAGCCTTCCTCAAAGTTAGTCGCGGTGTTGGGGTTTAGAGGAACCGGATCAGGCGAGACATGGGCGGCGGCCACCTCGTCCTTATTCCATCTGCGTTCCCCGAAGTTCCCGCTGCCAGAAAAAATAGCAGAAAGAACGTCTTCATCACTGGTGATGTTGCTATCGACAGGGAATTCGTCGGACGATGCAAGGTTTTGGGCTATGCTGAAGCCTTGGTCGACGATCATGGGTCTGCTGATAGGTGGAAAAGGAGGGCAGTCTCGAGCGAGAAGAGCATCACCCCACACGGCGCCTTGATGGTGCAAGGGAGCGCTGCTTGTTCCATACGCAGCCGGAACCAACGTCTCCACCATCTCGCTGCTGCCCCCGTCGGAATCTGGACTCGCCCCGCACGCCATGATTCCTAGGAGCTGAATGCTCGAGCTGGGGAAACAAGCCTCCAGCTCCAGCTTCCCCGTCATGCCGCTGTAGTCTTCACTGGAACTCAGAAAGTTGGAGTAGGTGGCTGTCGGATTACCCCAGCCTAGACTCTCCATTCCGCTGCTGCCTGGAGCGGGAGGCCTGCGCGACAACAGATCAAGATCAGATCCAGCATTCTCCTCACAAAGTACAGTGTCCAAATGGTTACCACAACTGTGGCTCGTACCTCGTCGAGATGCAGCAACAAACAAGCCTGAGAACCCACTGATCTTGGCCTCCTGCCGCAGGAGGTTTGGCTTCTCAGTCGGCCTCACAAACGCGGAGAAGCAAACCAAACCAATGAATGAGCGCCCATTGGAGTTGCGGTCCAGTGCGGCATTCATATGGTTGGCGGAGCGGAACAGCCATCTCTGGCGTCATCGCCTGCAACCGAAGCTTGGATGACTAAATGCTAGCAGACAAGGCATTGAATTCCTGTAACCTCCCAACGATTCACACCACGGTCACGGGCTAACTGAATCACCCAAGACAAGTAAAAGAAGCAAGAAGAAGGGAGGAAGAAGATGATGAGGCCACCGCAGCACATCATCTTATAGAGCATGCAATCTCTCTACTTGTGGTCTAATCATCGAATTAAATCCTCCCAATAACTATGACTGTGACTCCATGAAGGTGTAACTCATCCGATCATCGCCAACGTTCGTGGCTTTCGTGTTTACATTAATTCAAGTTAGATCAACGCATTTAATATTCCCTGCATCTCCTCCACACCTCCGTCATATTTTTACCTCGGCAGCGGCAGTAAGTATGCGATGCTAAACATGGGACCCATAAATATATCGAGTTTACGTACAGAATCTAGCGTCTGACCCATGTTACTAGATGAGACCCCGGAAATGGATGTTCATGTGGTTGGGTGTGTTGTCGTGTGCGAAACGGGTACAGATTGGGTTGGTCCATGGACCAGTAGGAATGTAACCCTGCAGCTTCCGATAGTACTGAGCCGTTCAATTCTGTCGCAAAGGTGTATTAGCGTCGGACACAATCTATAGGGACTGTTCATATTCCAGAGGAACACCGTGTGATTGGCTAGAAAGTGAAGA